TATCTTGATGACATCTGGATTAATACTTATATGCGCACTTACAGTGGGCGTCCGGTGAGTGCGCAATTTTGCCACAATTACTGCCCAAGCACCGATCCATCAAGAATATACTGGCACTTTAGGAGCACTGAAGTCACCTTTTGAACTATCTATGATATATGTTTATATATGTTGTTTTTATACGTTCATTCGTTTATGGACTTTTATTCATATTACACTGTTCAACAGGTAAAAAGTTTTGGGCATAAAATTAGCTAATCTTACATAATTTTGGGGTGCTGAAAACGAAAATGACCCTAAAAAAATGTTGATTGGCTCTAGTTTCCATGATATATTCACCCATCTAATGACGTAAGCCATTCAAAATTATGATGCAACTTCAGCTGCATATTGCGCAATTGATACTGGTGACCAATAGAAAATTGCATGTATACTGAGATGATGCAATATTAGCCTTTAATTGCATCACTTCACTGCATAAAAGCTGCAGTATCTGTAGCTGATTGTAGTTCGACAGCGTCTTTACATTTCGTTTTATGCTTATATAGGCTACTCAGTAATGCCTCGAACTTGTGTGAATAAAGCAGATAATTTCTGCTATATCTGCGGTGAAATAACTTTTATCTCACAAAAAAAGGAGGATAACAGGAATGATTAAGAAAGCCTACAACTTGTATTTTGGCTGCAAGATAGGAGACCAGGACAAGAGCTGGGCACCACATATATGCTGCAATTCTTGTGGGACGGCACTGAAGCAATGGTTGAATGGAAAAAAGGCATCTATGCCTTTCGCTGTGCCAATGATTTGGAGAGAGCCAACAGATCATGTTAGTAATTGTTACTTTTGTATGGTGCCTCCAATTGTAAAAGGGCTAAATAAGAAGAAAAAGTTATCTGTGCACTATCCAAATATTCCATCGGCAATACGTCCAGTTCCTCATGGAGAGGGGCTACCAATTCCTAAAGCACCAGAATCCTTCGTGGTTGAGTCAAGTGAGGAAGAACCTGAAGCGTGTAGTCACGTGCAGTTGTAAGAGATAGCCCTTTCCTCGAATACAAGAGAAAAGCCAAGAGAAGCAAAACCGACACAAACTGAAGACAAAACTAGTGAGAATCCTAAGTATTAAAATGATTCAACTTAGCTTATGGCTATAATTTTTCTTGGTAATCCTATGCAATATATTATGACATTTAGGCTTTGTTATGTAGTCAATATCACTTGCTTTATATTTGTGGAAAGACATCTATCTATATAATTATTGTGCATTATGTAGTCATTACGCCTATAGTAGAAAACTTCCGTTTACAGAAAAACTAGAGCCAACTGACAAATTTCATTGTTATATTTGAACTCAGAATGTGAAATTCATTAAGAAATGGATCCTTTTGTTTCCAAAACTGGCAAAAAATAAAAATTTGTTGAACAGTGTTATTAATGATTTTAGTGCTGCACCATATTTTTACAGATAAAACAACAGGCCATATGTAAAGATCAATTTTTTAAATCAGCATTAGTGCCAGTGTGTTTGAGGTAGGATAAAAAAAAAAGCAAAATACGCAGCATTGTTTCTGGGCCCTAATAGCAGTACAAACAACAAATAAGGTACACGTATGTGGTCTCCCTGTGATCATCAGGAATAGGAGAATATATTTATATCAGGCAGTATTTAAAGTAATTGTAAACCTCAGACATGAAACATGAACAAAGCATATCCCTCTATCGGATGCTCTTGTCTCAATCCACAGCGCTAAGTGGATTTCTGTCAGCTACCTTGTTCCTTCGCTACCTGTTTGAGTTAATTCTGACAAGCTTTCCTGACACCAAAAGAAAAAAGGTGACGAGAAGGAAGCTCCAGCACACAGCCTGCATTTGGCAGTCTCAACTTTGTTTCTGTGTGCTGTGTGAAGGGGGCAGCTTTCCTTCCCCTCCAATCAGCTCTCACTGAGCTCTGCACAGTGTAACTTCAGATTCCTGGAAGATCAGACAAGCTGTATAAATTCTGCACGGTTTTATAAAAGAGACAGCTACAGATAAACAGGTACCGCTTATGTAGGAAGATTTGTTTCAACTCTGTGTATCACCTGAGGATAGTCGCTTTACTGGGTATACGTAATGGTTTACAACCACTTTAAATATAAATATAATCATAAAAAACAATATCATGGCGTATGTAAATGGAATCCATGTCTCATAATATATGCATGTACATTGTTGTATGTATAGAAAAAAAATTATAAAAAACCTAGGAATGTAAAACTATGCATAATATATGTGATATATGTGTTATATGCACAACCTCAGAACTGGAAAACAAATATGCTACAACATTCACAGGACACTTTGGGTAGAAAGTCCCAAATAGTTATACCATCATCAATTAAAAAATTATGTAGGCTGCAAATGGATTATTATTCCAAATACAGGACTCCCCCCACCAACCTAAACTTAGGTTAACATAGCTGGGTACAAGGGAAGCTCCCATTGCAGTGCCCTATATTTGGAGATAATAAACATTATTGAACACAAAGTAGTTGTGTTCAAGGCAGAATCTCCAGCTCCCTTAGCTGGACATGAGCAGCTATCATGTGAATGGTACTATTTCTGTGAATTAATTTTCTAAATTTTTACTTATCCTGCACCCTGTTTTATTGTTATGCATGGTGAAGCCAGATTGGTCCCAGGATCTGCAGGATTTCCTCTTATACATACAGAGCCTTGAAAAACTATTCATACCCCTTGAAATTTTCCACATTTTGTCATGTTACAAAAAAAAACCGTAAATGTATTTTATTGGGATTTATGTGCTAGACCAACACAAAGTGGCACATAATTGTGAAGTGGAAGGAGAATGATAAATGGTTTTCAAAGTTTTTTACAAATAAATATCTGAAAAGTGTAGCGTGCATTTGTATTCAGCCCTCTTTACTCTGATACCCCTAACTAAAATCTAATGGAACCAATTGCCTTCAGAAGTCACCTAATTAGTAAATAGAGTCCACCTGTGTGTAATTTAATCTCAGTATAAATACAGCTCTTCTGTGAAGCCCTCAAGAGGTTTGTTAGAGAACATTAGTGAACAAACAGCATCATGAAGGCCAAGGGACACACCAGACAGGTCAGGGATAAGGTTGAAGAGAAGTTTAAAGCAGGATTAGGTTATAAAAAAATCTCAAGCTTTGAACATCTCATGGAGCACTGTTCAACCCAAATATGGAAAGAGTATGGCAAGCCTACCAAGACATTGCCCTCCACCTACACTGACAGGTCAGGCAAGGAAAGCACTAATCAGAGAAACAGCCAAGAAGCCTATGGTAACGCTGGAAGAGCTGCAAAGATACACAACTCAGGTGAGAGAATCTGTCCACAGGACAACTAGTGTGGCACAACTGCAAACCTATCAAGACATGGCCATCCACATAAAGTGACGAGCCGGGCAAGGAGAGCTTTAATCAGAGAAGCAACCAAGAGGCCCATGGTAACTCTGGAGGAGCTGCAGAGATCCTCAGCTCAAGTGGGAGAATCTGTCCACAGGACGACTATTAGTCGTGCACTCCACAAATCTGGCCTTTATGGGAAGAGTGGCAAGAAGAAAGCCATTGTTGAAAGAAAGCCATAAGAAGTCCCATTTGCAATTTGCGAGAAGCCACGTGGGGGACACAGTAAGCATGTGGAAGAAGGTACTCTTGTCAGATGAGACCAAAATTGAACTTTTTAAAAGCAAAACACTACATGTCGCGGAAAACTAACACTGCACATCACCCTGAACACACCATCCCCACCATGAAACATGGTGGTGGAAGCATCATGTTGTGGGGATGCTTTTCTTTAGCAGGGATAGGGAAGCTGGTCAGAGTTGATGGAAAGATAGATGGAGCCAAATAAAGGGTAATCCTAGAAGAAAACCTGTTAGAGTCTGCAAAAGACTTGAGACTGGGGAGGAGGTTCACCTTCCAGCAGGAAAACGACCCTAAACATATAGTCATAGCTACAATGGAAAGGTTTAGATCAAAGCATATTCATGTGCTAGAATGGCCCAAAGTCCAGACCTAAATCCAATTAAAGATCTGTGGCAAGACTTGAAAATTGCTGTTCACAGACACTCTCCATCCAATCTGATAGAGCTTGGGCTATTTTGCAAAGAAGAATGAGCAAACATTTCACTCTGTAGATGTGAAAATCTGGTAGAGACATTCCCAAAAAGACTTGCAGCTGTAATAGCAGCAAAAGGTGGTTCTACAAAATATTGACTCAATATTAACTTTTGGCTGAATACAAGTGCAAGCCACACTTTTCAGATATTTGTAAAAAAGTTTGAAAACCATTTATCATTTTCCTTCCACTTCACAATTATGTTCCACTTTGTGTTGGTCTATCACATAAAATCTCAATAAAATACATTTAGGTTTTTGGTTATGTGACAAAATTTCAAGAGGTATGAATACTTTTTCAAGCCACTGTATTCCATGAAATGTCAAGTAAGGTTATTGCTAAAATATATTAGTGATAAAATATTGTTCCTTTCTTTAAAATAAATGATGGTCATGACCTGACGATTGTCCAATAATTATCCTAGTTTTCAGAAAAAACATTACCCAGAATGATTAGCAAAGTTGTTCACTACTAATCAGTTTAACTTTCAAGCTGACATTAAAGCTGATTCCCTTTTCACATTACCAGTGATAATTGGAAGTATTTTTTAACAAATGGGTGACTTAAATTGAGACAAATGGTTTGCATAAGCTAACAGATAATAATACTTAATGCAATTAAATGCATGCATGTGTTAGAAAAACCATTTTACCTTATATAATAAAATTACACCTATGTTCCACATGACAAAAGTTACATAAATGTATGCTTAATTTAGGCAATTGTTCTTGTTTGCACTTCAAAGAACATGAAATATCAAATTTTGTATTGCATTCACAATTTTATTTCTATATGTGGTATTTTTCAATCAATCATATATATATGTGTGTGTGTGTATGTATATTCTTACCTGAAGCAGTTTGTCATAACGTTCTGCAGACATAAGGAACCTGCCATCCTCGAGCTGCATCTCCCGGTTCTCCAGCAAATTGTTTAGGACAGGCAGGACATTTCGTTCGGCTTTCTCTAATCCCTCCAGAACCAAGATTCTTCCCTTTGTGGCTGCGCGCACTGCACACTTTAAAGCAAAACAAGATATACAGGAAAATTAGACAACAATAAAGTAAATATTGGGGTATCTGTGCCACGGTCACATGTCAAAATTATTGGCATCTTCTGAAAATTGTAAGGAATAATTGCATTCCAAGTTAGTGATGCTCCTGTAATTTGTAATTAAACTCACCTGTATAAACTAACAGGTGCTGACAATATCGAAATCCCACCAGCAACCAGTTAAAATGGTGAAAAATTGGCTCAACCTTTCTGTTGTGTTTCTCTGTGTGCCACATGAAGAATGGAGAAGAGAAAAAGCAGCAAATAATTGTCTGAAGATTTGAGAACAAAAATTGTTCCTGTGTCCACTGTGCGCAACAATGTCAAGAAGTTTACAGCCCATGGCACTGCACCTAATCTCCCTGGACGGGGACCAAAGAGAAAAAATTGATCAAAGATTGCAATGAAGTATTGTTTGAATGGTAGATAAAGAACTTCGATCAACTTCAAGCTGACCTTCAGGCACAGGGTTCAACTGTGTCAGCTTGCACTATACGTCGCCATCTGAATGAAAAGAGACGCTATGGTAGGAGACCTAGGAGGACCCCATTGCTGACACAGAAACAAAAAAAAAAAAACAAGAGTGGAGTTTGCCACAATTTACCCGAGGAATCCAAAATCCTTTAGGGAGAATGTGCTGTGGACAGACAAAACCTAATTACAGTTTTTGGTAAAGCCCATCATTTTACTGTTTTCAGAAAAATAAATGAGGCCTTTAAAGTCAAACATGGTGGAGGTTCGCTGATGTTTTGGGGTTGCTTTGCTGCTTTAGGCACTGGATGTCTTGACCGCGTGCATGGCATTATGAAATCTGAAGACTACCAAGGATTCTGGGATGCAACGGAGGGCAGAAATGGGCAGAACATGTAACAAGTAGGAGCACAGAGGTTTTAGGTTTTAGGTCCTGTTCACATCTATCCATTTCCCTTGTCATGCATTTTATTTTGAATGTTTTAAATGTTTGATTTTGCAAGTTTAATTGTGTTTTACGTGCATTGTGCATTCTTGGTTTCAACCAATGAGGATGATTTTCCTGTAATGACATCATGAACAAATGTGCTTCCTTGTTTTCTGAGTTTGGAGTTGAGGAAGTTTGGCTGATTTTACACCGCTGTTTGTAGCTGCTACAGCAACTGTCATCGTGTTTGCTGTGGTTGACCACATGACACGTATCATAGCAGGTGAATTGTGGCCAAGCACTTTGCAGATCTCCAGGGGAGATGCTTGTAAACACCGAACAATAAGCTACCATATGCTCATCCACAACAAGATGAAAATGTGCATTTACATACACTTCCATAGACTTCAATGGGCCACAAAATGTCTATAAATGCATCTAAAATGCATTTTCTATATACAGTGGATATAAACCCCTGTTAAAATGTCAAGTTTCTGTGATGTAAAAAATCAGACTAAGATAAATCATTTCAGAACTTTTTCCACTTTTCATGTAACCTATATACTGTACAACGCAATTGAAACACAAGCTGAAATCTTTTAGGTGGAGGGAAGTAAAAATAAAAAACTAAAATAATATGGTTGCATAAGTGTGCACATCCTTAAACTAATACTTTGTTGAAGCACCTTTTGATTCTATTCCAGCACTCAGCCATTTTGGGTATGAGTCTATCAGCATGGCACATCTTGGCTTGGACACTTCTTGCAAAAACACTCCAAATCTGTCAGATTGCGATGGCATCTCCTGTGCACAGCCCTCTTCAAATCACCCCACACATTTTCGATCAGATTCAGGTCCGGGCTCTGGCTGGGCCATTAAAAAACTTTAATATTCTTCTGGTGTAGCCATTTCTATGTTGATTTGGATGTATACTTTGGGTCGTTGTCATGATGAAAGATGAAGTTTCTCTTCATTTTCAGCTTTCTAGCAGAAGCCTGAAGGTTTTGTGCCAATATTGACTGGTATTTGGAACTGTTCATAATTCCCTGTACCTTGACTAAGGCCCCAGTTCCAGCTGAAGAAAAACAGCCCCAAAGCATGATGCTGCCACCACCATGCTTCACTGTGGGTATGGTATTCTTTTGGTGATGTGCAGTGTTGTTTTTGTGCCAAACATATCTTTTGGAATTATGGCCAAATGTTCAACCTTGGTTTCATCAGACCATAACACATTTTCCCACATGCTTTGGGAGACTTCAGATGTGTTTTTGCAAAATTTAGCTGGGCTTGGATGGTTTTCTTCGTAAGAAAATGCTTCCGTCTTGCTAATCTACCCCATAGCGCAGACATGAAAAATACGGGAGATTGTTGGCACATGTACCACGCAGCCAGTACTTGCCAGATATTCCTTCAGCTCCTTTAATGTTGCTGTAGGCCTCTTGGCAGCCTCCCAGACCAGTTTTCTTCTTGACTTTTCATCCATTTTGGAGGGACGTCCAATTCTTGGTAATGTCACTATTGTGCTATATTTTCTCCACTTGATTGTGACAGTCTTCACCGTGTTCCATGGTATATCTAATGCCTAGGAAATTATTTTGTACGCTTCTCCTGACTGATACCTTTTAACAATGAGATCCCTCTGATGCTTTGGGAGTTCTCTGTGGACCATCGTTTTGCTGTAGGATGCGACTAAAAAAATTTCATCAGGAAAGACCTAACAGAACAGCTGAAACTTATTTGGGGTTAATCAGAGGCACGTTAAATGATGGCATGTGTGTACTGACTCCTATTTAACATGATTTTGAATGTGATTGCTTAAATCTGAACACAGCTATATTCCCAATTATAAGAGGGTGTGCACACTTCTGCAACCACATTATTTTAGTTTTTTTATCTTTACTCCCCCCCCTAAAAGATTTCAGTATGTTTTTCAATTGAGCTGTACAGTTTATAGGTCACATTAAAGGTGCAAAAAGTACTGAATTAATTTATCTTTGTTTATATATTTATCTTTTCTTATACATCACAGGAACCTGACATATTAACAGGGGTGTGTAGACTTTTTATTTGTTATATCCTCCTGTATTTACTCAGTGCAACATATAACATCCAAACGAAAGATAAAACACAAAAATGTCAGAAAAAAACAAAAACCAAAACAGAATCACTGAGTTGAAAACAGGATCACCCCTTGCATCAGTATGTTGCTTTAATTCCAGCCTTTAGTCTGTTGGGATATGTCTCTACTAACTTTGCACATCTAGACTTTGCAATATTTGCCCACTCTTCTTTGCAGAACTCCTCAAGTTCAGATAAATTTGATGGTGACTGTTTGTGGACTGCAGTCTTCAAGTCATTCCATTGCATGTGGCCTTTGTTGAGGAGTGTCTTTTTCCTTGCAACCCTCCCATACAAGTCACATTTGTGGGGAATTTGTGATATTGTTGTCACATGTACACAATGACCACTTTTGTCATAAATTCCTGCAACTGCTTCATAGTTGCTGTAGGCCTCTTGATAGCCTCTCTGACCAGTTTCCGCCTGGCTCTTTCATCTAGTTTGGAGCAACGTACTGATCCAAGGAGGGTTTGTGTAGTACCAAATACCTTCCACTTCTTAATAATAGAGTTCACTGTGCTTCTAGGCACTGATAAAGTCTTTGAAACTTTTTTGTATCCATCTCCTGGCTTGCCACAACTTTATCCCGGAGATCTTTTGACAGTGCTTTGTCAGCCATATTTGATTGTTTGCTTCAGCTGCACTATTAGGGACTGAAATGCTCCAAGAAAGCTCTTTTCATGCTGATCTAATCAAAATGATCATAGCTGAAAGTCAAATTACTTTGTGTGCCATTGAGAAGGTGATTAGCTACACCTGATTAAGTGTAAGTAAGTAATTTTTAGCATTCTGTTTTTAATTTTTTTTTACATTTTGTTCTGGCATTTTGGTGTTATATGTCTCACTTGGATGTTCTAAGTTGCACTGACTAAATACAGCTGAATAAAACAAAAACTGTGCTTGTCTTCATTTCAGGCTGCAAAGCAACAAAATGTGATTATTTTAAGGAGGGGGAGGTGATTCTTTACCTACTATATATATATTGCCTCATTTTTAACAACATAGCTCGCAGATGCAAATGGCATCATTGGACTCAATGTATTTCTGTGACACATGCGCTTTTATGCTTTACAAAATGCACAAAAAATTGCAAAGGTGTGCACTGGGCCTTAGGAAGTTACATAACAGTGTATTTAAAATTTAAAAAAAAAAATGGAAATCATGACACTATTGTAAACAACTGCAAAGTCTTTATGGAACAAAATATTTTCTAATTTACGCCTGTAGTTCAAAACATACTCCAATTAAGTTAAAAAAAAATCAGACAGCAAGGACAATAGAAAACCAAAAGGTCAATTGTCATTTAATGTCTTTATCAAACAACATCCAGAGAGATTACTTTCCAGTGAGTCATACTGAAGACACTGAAGCTACACAGAACATGATTTTCATTTAGCTAATTAGAAAATATTTACTTAGCCATATCCCAATACACCTACTTACCATCTGTACATTGAAAAATCATTTAACATGTTAAAATGGAAAGGAAAAAATGTATCCTACGGGGACTAATAAAAACAAAACAGAGAATGCCATTAAAGCAGAACTTCAGGCACCATAATATCCAAAGCTTAAAGGATAACTCCACCTTTCTGACTAGGTTTTATGTTACACCGATATTTAGGGTGAAACATGAACCATGCTCAGCATGCACACACAACTCCTCCTCCCCCAAAAGGTGCCCCCTCTCCTTTTTAGAGGATCACAGCATTCTTCTACTCACTCACTGGCTCCTGTCACTTTTTAAAACAATGCACTCTCCATTTAATCACAGGACGTTGTGAACGAAAACACTACAAGTCCCATATGCCAATGCATCAGACGGACTGTAGTACTCAATGAAGCTTAAGTATGGCAACGCCATCACATTTGTAGTCCTTTGATATTTCCTCCAGCTTCGTAGAAGAGAAAGAGTATGAAGGAGCTAGAGCACTGCAATACCTTACAGA